AAAATCACATTGAAGGAAAATTTTATTTTGTAAGTCTGAGGATCTAGCTTATACTTTCTCTTGTTTTAGACTTTGTTATGTGATGTGTTGGAAGCAATAATAGGTGTAAATTAGAACTTCAATATGTTATTCTGTTTTAAGCCTTCTAGAGACTCTGTATGTAATGCTGGAAACCTAAACTGCACATTAATGATACTTTGATTTGTCCTTATAATTTATTCAGAGATGCATATGATAATCTTGAAAATTTGGAAGTATAAAACCAGTTGAAATAGCTATGCACATTTTGAGCTTTGAATAATCACTGTATTTTCATTACAGTGTGAAAGGTGATACTTCATTACATTCTTCAGTAATAAGACCACTGAAGGAAGAGGCAGCTTGCTATAAACATCACCTTTGCTGATAGAGCCTGAAACAAGTTTTTGCTTTGATGAGGTCTGCCAGCAACTAAAAAGGCTATCCATTGGAAGCAAGTAGTATCTTATGGGTATCTTGACAAAGATCTTTGCATATCTGAAGCTAACGGAGGCTGTCGAGACTCTTCTAGTATTGGGTCCAAAAAAGTAGGTTTAGCAGCATGTGGCAAACTTGTCTACTTGTCAGCCACCTCTCCTACTGTCCTGTCTCCAACAGTGGCAGTAAGTCAATATCCATAGGGAAGGAAGAATGGGCTAAGCATATTTGATACTTTGCTAGCATCAAACTATTTTCACCTTGGGTTGTTTCCTGAACTAGATATGGTTTCTAAGCATCAGTGTTCGTATAACCACCACCAGCTGCAGGTATCTCCATAAAACTGTAAATAATTAATTGAAGGAATGATAAAGACTAAAAGCAATTACTGTCATTGTTAAAATCTTCTGAGTGGTGTATGCTGCTTATTTATTAACTTTTTCATTATAGCCATCACCTCCTCTGGGATGTGATTAGTCTTGAAGAATCACTCTTATTTTAATTAATCCATAGCAGTCTAGTTGAAATCATGCCTAGTTTGAAAATATTCCTCGTATTGTAGGATGGCATATACCAGCTTATTCTTATACCTGTTGGAACCACTTAGATTAACCAGTGAATACTGTCCCGAGACAAATTGTGAGTGACTTACTGAAGGCCTGTGCAGCTCAGGAAACCTTCACTGATTGTGTCCCATGTAAAGTCAGCCTGATAGTCTTGACAACGTTTCTTAAAAGGTTTAGAAGCTCTAGAATATTAATGCTATTTTGAAATATCATTCCCTCACCTCTCCCTTCCGGCCCCCTCCAAATTCAGGACTCTCAATTTTGGAACTTCTATCCATGAATAACTAATGTGAACATGAGCTAATCCAGTGAGGATAGTCATCTTTCACATAGATATGTGATTGTACTAATATAACCGATTCAGAATGGGACAGTCTGTTTGTAAATCTGTGTTAAAAGTATTCTTAAATAAAAACCATGAAAAAAATAACATCAGTGAGCAAAATTATAACTGAAAGCTTAATTGCAAAAATGTCTCCAAGGCGCTGTAGAGATGATTTGGTGAAATGGTACTGTTTTACAAGCCGCACAAATATTGACAAGATTTCACTTTTTTTTTCTTTTTTTTTTTTTTTACCCTAACTAAAAAATTCGGGTAGTAACTACAGCTATCTTCTGTATTTAAAGTACCTGCTTAATTCTGCAAAAGTAGTTAAGAAAAACAGGTAACTGGATTAAGCAATGGTTTAATCAAATTCTAAGGTTGTTGGCATAGAGGACATTAAATGTAAAAGCAATGCTGATATGATGGGCAACAGTGAACTTTGTGAGAAAGTGATAACCTGTCTGTTCAAGGGTACTGAGAATGTGGATAATTATTCTGTGCATATCTTACTGTGTCTTATACTTAGAAGAATTTAGTCTTGCTTTTGCTGTGGTCATTTGTTCAGTGAAGGACTATCCTATAGCTAACACAATGCTGCTGAAGTAAGCTTTTTCAGCTTGAATGTGTAATTTGGAAATGAGCAGTGTTTTGTAAGCCTAGAGGAAGACTGTACTGATTATCTTGAATCTGTTAGCTGCAAGAACTAAATGACTAATTATATAAGAATATGCTACCTCTTTTAAGATCCAAGACTGTGGATATTGTGGTGTATAGCATCAGTACTGCTGCTTCACGGCAGTATGATCAGTTCTTCGAACATGGAAATGAAATTTGTTATCAGCTCTTAGAGTTTTTCCTTTTATGTATTTTATTTTGACACTGAATCCATTTCATGTTGTGGACATATGTTTAAGAATTTAATTAGTGCCACTGTCCTCTTTCAGCTGGTTGAGATGTCTTAACCTAAGAATTAAAGGAAGAAATCTGCGTTTACAAATAGACTAAAAAATGGTCATACCAGTGCTACACCCTTAAATTAATTTTCAGTGTTTGTGGCTAAGACTGATTTTGTAGGGTTTTTATGGAATAAAATTCAGAGTCTGCTTCTACTCATTCTTTCTGGTCCTGACCAGACAGTGACAGTTTATACACAGTTGTCAATTGAATTAGACAAACCGTATGTACTCCCACCACCCTCCTGTTTGTGGGTGGCAGTGTACGGGAACAGAACTGGGTACTTTCTCTGCTTGGCATCCCTCAACAGCACAGATCCAAAAGATGCAACTCGACTGCAGAACTGTTTTGCTAGTCAACAAGTACTGTACCCCACCCACGTTTCGAACTAGCAGATGGTGAGGCAAGCCTGTAGAACATGGTGAGGGATTTCACTACATTTCTTTAAAGTAAATAAATAATATTTGAAAATTCTATTTAAAAATCTAAATTACAGAATTAATTAGCCATGAAAGCATAGCATCATATAATTATAGGATTTTATATTCTCTATAAAACTTTCATGGTCACCTTAGATAAATATTACTTCAGTAATTTAAAGTACTTCTTAAGCATGAGACCATTTATTTCAGGTACTGGTCATCCTATTGCTTTAAATATCAGAGGCTTCTGACTAAAGAAATTTGTTCTAGAAGAAAAGATCGGGTAGTACTCTGCTGCAAGTCCTCCTTTTGAATAATAATAATAATAAAAAAAAATTAGATAGGCATTTAGAACAAGAAGTTTTTCAGCATGAATAAGCAGACCAAATTACTTCATCAACTTCCAGCTATTATGCATTCGTGTGAAACCATGCTAAAACTACAAACCTGTCAGCAATGTATTCTTCCTGTGTTTTCTAAATCATAGAGGTAACAAATGCATTTTTCCTAGTTGCCAGCTGTTTGCTCTGGACCTCAAACTAGGTTCTTCCCTACTGTTCATGAATGCAGGATTCTGCAGACCAGGTCATAGTTGCTTCTGTTTCTCTCTCGATTGTATTCAGCTCATTATTTCTGTGACTGCTATGCGGCTTTTTTTTGCACAGTTACATAGGTTTGGAATTTTAATATTATTTTTTCAATTAAAAATAATAATTTTAAACTTAATTTTCATGCATAAAGGGAAATAATCACTAGAATGAAAGATAGTAAAATTCGTCGGATTTATTTTTCTGAATAGGAGTGTGCTTAGGACTTTACTAAGATGGGGGCTTTGCATTACTGAGCTCACCATCTATGTTGTAAGTTTAAATACTGGTGTCTGCTCTAATACACACATTTAATACATAAAAATGAAATTTTCACCAAGCCCTCTAATGAAATAGTGTTACAGTGAGCAATAAAGACAGTCTGATTACAGAAATATTATGTTCTAACACCACGTTCCACATCCTGTATTCCCTTCTATGGTTATGTAATAGAAGCACCAAACTTCAAAGGAAGTTGCTGGTTTGGTTTCACCCAGGAATCTGTATCTTGCTTGATAAATTTTATCAGAAATGTGTGACCTGTCATCCTATCATGCTTCCCCACACTGTGACCTCTGTTCCGACTTTCTGTTCTGTTAAGATCACAATTTCGCTTCAACTTAATAGTTTATCTAAGGGACCTCATCCAGTTTATTTGAAAAATCTCTTTTCTGCACTTACATATCGACAGCACACCTTCTAGCAGCATACTTTATTCAGACAGCCCCAAAACTTTATCCTTTCAGCTCCAAAATGAGGCATTTGGTTCCAAATCCTAAACTTGAAGGAAAAGGAAACCAAGTAGATTTTCAGGTTGATTTTACAGAAGAAAGGAGTCAAGTATTTTTATACCTTATTACTTACAGAGAGAAGATGCTAAGTGAAAAAAACCTGCATTATGTGATAGGCCTTTACTTACTTCTATGACTTCAACTGCAGCATCAGAATATGCCTACTAATGTAAATTATCATCGTCCAGGTTTATGAAAAATGCTGAGGGAATTAAGAGAAGGAAGTGGGATGTACTTTGTACTGGGTCAAAACTGAAATTGCTACCTTCTTCCATTTGCTTTAAATAGATCTTTACAATTTTTTTTTTTTCGTTGTCATTTGGGTGGCTGTTGAGTGTCCATGTGGCATCCTCACAAGGAATGCATTACAGTAGTTTTAAGAGGATGAAAATAATATAATGAGTGAAATTTGTTTGTGCACATTAATAGCAAAATCATATCCATTAACATTCTAAATATAGGAATCTTACTCAGATCTTTCTGATACATGAAATACAAGAGGATGTGATATATTTATCTGTTCTCTAGCCCATTTTATTGAAATGCCATCATTGTACACAAGTTCTGAATGCTGTAGTTCATTTGTATTCATTAAGTCCAAACACATGAAATATATAACGTGAAATGAGTGGGAAGGACAAGTGAAAAAAATACAAACCATTAGTGTTGTGAGAAGAACTGCAGTAAAAGTGGAAAAGCTATTAATTGTACTTCCATATAAAGAATTTGTCTGGTAAAGGAAATAAATGTAACATTTTGAATGTAATTGTACATGCTCTGAAAATATGTTGTAGTGACTAACTAAATATTGGCTGGTTTTTTTTTTTTTTAAAAAAAAAAAAAGCAAGCCTAATTCTAGGTGAATTAAACACTTATGGGTAGCATTGGTTTTTACTTAGCCCTGAAGTTGTAAAGAGTGAGCCATATGGGGAGAAGGCTGATGTCTGGGCTGCAGGATGCATCCTTTATCAGATGGCAACTCTGAACCCACCGTTTTACAGCACCAATATGCTGTCCTTGGCAACTAAGGTATTTGGATTTGCCAGATCAACCTACCAATTATTTCTGCATGTGTTCACTAAATCTGTGAGAATTTATGTTTAAGGTTATAGAAGCATCAACTGCTCTCTGCACAAGTGTTTATCATTGTCTGAATTGCTGTCTCGCCATTCTAATTGCTAAAATGGCTTGTAAATATTAGTATATTATTACCTCTCAGACTAGCATATTTCTATAATTGCAGTTGGTGATAGAAGCTTTGGATATATAAAATGTGTTGGTGAATGATAATATTGGATTTTCTAGGGCGTTGTGCATTACACCTTAGGATATAATCACAAATAAATAAATTGTTTGTTTCCCTTATTCGGCTATCGTAGCCTTCTGATGTGCAGTGATTATCTACATTAATGCAGATAACTGATTAGAAGTGACATTCTGCATTAGAAGATGTGTTCTAAATTGTTTTGCAAGTTAGAGCTGATATAATGCCCATCATGTTGTTTGCAGGAACGATACTTCTTGTGAGGGATCTTCAAATAAATAATGGAGTATTTTTCTTCAATTAACTTTAGATTATTTATTTTTGCAGATAGTAGGGGCTGTGTATGAACCTGTGCCAGAAGGACAGTACTCTGAAAACGTGTCATTTACCATTAAGAGGTAATTACTCGACTAGTTTTATTTGGACATCCCGCTGAAAAGATATTTTGTTTTCTATGTAATGTGGTGATTTGCTGACTTTAGCAACTGCCAGTAATGGTCTTTGAATATGAAATATCTTCTTATTTAAAGAAAACCGGAGGTAACTCCTTACCTTGCTAATAACATATGCAATATAGTTGCATACTTGCAACTGGAAAACTCATGTCAGTATAGTCAGCACATTTATCCAGCTAGTGTGGACTTTATACTGAGTCCTGAAGTTTAACACTACTGGTGCTGTAGTTAATTCCCTACACATCAATTTTTGTCCTGATGAAAATACAGCATTTTGAATCATTTTCAAGTGCAGTGTATGGTCAAAGAAGTAAACTTGTTGCAATATGTTATTTATAGATCACTGTATGATCTCATTTATAGTTTTGTGTGTTTATTTGACTGAGAGAAATGTGTTTCCCACTACCTTCTAATTCTGTTAGCAGAAGAGTGGAGATAACAAAGCAGAGATAATGCAGTAATGGAGAAAAAAATCAGCCTGTGTTTGTTCCACTCTCTCACCACATATTTCTCTTAGCTATGGTTACATCTTCCTGGTGATAATTTAATGTGTAAGGCACATTCACAGAGTGAATTGGTGCACTTCTATGAGATCTAGCTCCTTTGATTTTTCCATTTTGGAAAAGCTCCACTTAGCACAAAAATGCTTTTTCTTTCTCACTCAGATTCCATCTCTAAAAAGCACTTTACTGTACAAAGACTGTAACATTTTTAAACAATGTTTTATTGTACAAAAAGGTTTCTATTGTTTAAAAGCCTTGAGGATGAGAAACAATGGAGAGGATAGCAGCTGATAGTACTAACAATTATGTTTAAGAGGTCCTGAAATTAATTGGAATATTTTAAAAATTTACAGATATTTGTAGTTAGAATAACTGGCTTTATTAATCAATTGCTTGCTATTTAAGAATAATATAGTAATCTCAAATGCATCCAGAAAATATCTTCCAATTACATCATATCACTATTGATATGTATTGCATTCTCTAACAAATTTAAAACACACCTTTATCAGTGATTTAGGTAAAGTTATATGAGTATCTGGCCTCTGTCTTGTCCTTTTCATTCCTCTTATGATAAAAACCTATAATGGGAAGTTTTTGAGGGTTTTCCAAGGTGAGTTGTTTTTATAATTGTAGATATTGTGGCTGTACTAAGCAGGTTCACTTTAAGCCCCATATCATTATGACACTGGCTGCTATGGAGGCTAACTGGTTTAATAGATTATTAAATAGGTATTATTTACATGACAATATTTAAATTTTCCTGCCATGTAAAATTTTTTTTTTTGCTTGTTTTAATGGCAGTGGTAAGCAAAAAAAAACACCCACCAAACTAAACAACAAAAACAAACCCAAAGTTGTTTTATTTTTTTAAATGTTGATTATCTTACTATGGGTTAATCCTGAAATGAAATATTGCGTTCAGGTTTTGGCTTTGTGAGATATTTAGAAAGAATAAAGAACATTAAAGAAATGAAGCAATAATGAGATTTTACTGACAATATAGATGAGGAAACATTAACAGAAATGAAGAAGTTCTTTCCAAATGACTGAAATGCAACACATATTCAAAGATGAATATCATAGGAAGAATAGTTTATTGCTAATGATTGGAAAAAAAATTGAAATCTTCATGTTGTAACTCTAAATTTGCATTTCATGCTATCACTATTATTCGTTATTGTTATTATAAAAATAAACTTTTATTAGATTAAACTACTGAAAAAAGTTCTGGGATCATAATCATCAAAGTCATTCAGTATTTAGTCATAAATCATTTTCTTCTGGATGCATGGGAAATGGATTTAGGATTTACCAATCCACTCTCTCTGGCTGCAACTGCTGGTTTTTCAGTCTCGTTTTCTCAGAGGTGCTACCATCGTCCCTGATGGGCTTGGCCTTGGCCAGCAGTGAGTTAATCTTGGAGCAGGCTGGCATTGGCTCTGTTGGACACAGGGGAAGCTTCTAGCAGCTTCCCTCAGAAGCCACCCCTGTAGCCCCCCTACTACCAAAACCTTGCCATGCAAACCCAATACAAGAGCTCACATAATTCTTGGAAATTTTGACCTATTTCAGTGGATTAAAACAAAAAATAAAAAAAAATCAAATGGAACATTTCTTAAGGGTGAAAAACTTGCATCTGTTTAAAGGAAACATAAATTTTTAAGAAAAACAGATTAACAAAGTTATGAAAATTAATGAGACAAATCAATGGATTTGAGCAAATTCAAATAAAAAGTAAAATCAAGAAGTTCAAGTGCTGTAACACATTTTCAAAACTGCTTCTTTACATGGCATTTATGTTTATTTTAAAAGTATTGTTTTAGAAATAATAAAATAATTCCATGACACTTTCTTTAAAGAGAAGGGTGTTGGGTTAAGTGTATCTGCATGCTATAGCAAACTGTCAGAGTCATTGAAGTCAACAGATTTAAGACAGTGTGTAGTAGTACATGCAGAACTGTCCCTACCAGCTTTCATGTCCTACACTACATACTAAATATTCTGGGTGTTTAAAAGTACAGCTAATAGTATGTTATTACTGTTACTAAGCAGCTACTTAGGGTGCCTGAAACAAGAACTATAGCACTGTCAAGGAATTTAGGTTGGAAGGGACCCCCGGAGCTTATCTAGTCCATCTGCTCAGGGCAGATACAATTAGATCTGTTTGTTCATTGCTCAGGGTCTTGTCTGATATCTGAGTTCTGATACCTGGACGCATGGACCTCTCACAACTTCTCCGAGCCCTCTTCAGTGCTTGTCTGCCTTTGTGATTAAGAATAGTAGTGGTAGTAGTCATAATAATCCTTATGTCTACTCAGACTTTCCTGTGTTCTAACTTGTGCCTTTTGCCCTGTCACTATGCACCTCTGAGGAGAATCTGGCTCCACCTTTTCTATACCCTCCCATTACGTAGATAGCATTCAGATCTCTGTATAGGTGCCCCGGGTCCCTCTGACAGCAACCCTGCCCCATGTATCAACTGATCACTGCAATTCGGTGTTCACAAAACTTTTGAGAATGCCCTCCATCCCATTATCTAAATCGTTAATACAGACTTTAAACAGTGCTGTCCCAATACCATTCCCTGGAGGATGCTATTTCCAGCTTTCCTCCAGCTTTTCCAGCTGGGCTTTGTACTGCTGATGACACCTCTTTGAGCCAGGAGGTTCAGCCAGTTACCTACCTACTTTATAGACCAGAGTGCTGGCCAGCGTGACTTGATAAATACCGATGGAGGAATGCTGTGGTACCAAACAGTTTTTTAGAAAGCAGTAATTAGCTTTCATTAGAGAATGTTCTTTCTGTAGATGCTTGACTCCTGATGCAGAGGCACGTCCAGACATAGTGGAGGTCAGCTCACTGCTGTCTGATGTGATGATGAAATACATGGACGTTTTATCCACCTCTCTTCTCATGTCGGAGAAGAAACTGGAACGGGAGAGGAGACGAACCCAGAAGTACTTCATGGAGGCTAACCGAAATGCAGTAGTAACCTGCCACCAGCAGCTTTCCATTTTATCACAAGTAAGTACATGTATTACACTTTATTTTTCCTTATCATTATTTGCCATATCTGAGAAAATTAGGTACAACAAAGCAGAAAATAAACAAAATGAAAAGACCCACCCTCTTAGAATATTTTTCCAGGCAAGCTCTTTATTTTTAATGAACTATTCACTCATTTTTTGTGGTCATGCTTACGAAGGATAAAGAATAATATCTTAAACACTGATATCATTCTGTGTTGGAAAATGGCATTGTTATGGAGATGCTTGCAGTTTTGATAGAATCTGATAATATTTAATTATTGCTGGACACTTGTGAATAGTTTGTGAATAAGAGAATATACACTTGGCCAGGGTGGAACAAATGGATAATCTTGTTTATGATTCACAATGACACCTAGAAAATGGAATCCACACAAATATATTTTTTAATTACAGACTGCTAAATAAAGAACAATGATGCATATAAGGTATTTGCTGATGCATTCTTATTGTCTGATAGAGTTCTGCAGAAATATTTGTTAAAATTCTATTTGCTTCAGGCTGTGTTTTAAGCACTCTTCATGAAGGACATCCGTATTTTACATAATGAAACAAACTTGTATATGATCTCGGAGAATTTACTTTAAAAAGTACAAGGACAATGCTTATGTGTAGTAAAAGCTCACTGTGAAAGTTATTGTTATGGTAATTATGAAGCAAAAATGTAGTTTACACAGCTACTCTTGTCTGTTCAGCTATTGTATGTCTCTTAGATTCCTTTTATCAGTGGTTTGCACTGAAGAACCTCTGAGTCAGAAAAAGGTTTTCAGGAACATCCAGTCCTGAACTCATGGAATTTTTTTTTTTTTTTAATAAGTTGTCTTCATCTTCCTGGCAAGCATAAGACTTGTAGAAAAACCTCAATAAACAACTTTTATTTGAAATGTAAGATGTACTGAGATAAAAGAAATATACTGAGTAGGATTTATAACTTAAAAGAGTATGAGCAATTAATTTCCATGTTTTTTGAGTTTTCTTATCCTACACATTTGGAAGCTTGTTTTATGCCATTATTTTTGCATATCTTGATGTAGTCACTCTCTTGAATAACTGTGATGAAATTTGCAAAAAAAGTACTCTGGAGGGAAAGCTACTTGATTTGGAATTTTAGTGCAATTATCCTGTCTTTGAGAGAAGGCTGCCCTATCAAGACACTTGGAAGATCTGAGAAAACTAATATCTTTCTATAGAAGTTAGAGTACTTCTAATTTGTATAAATACTTGAAAAATACACCTGTCTATAAGATGAGAAGGAAAAATGTTTCAGTGTTTTGGGGGATAATGGCTAGTCTCATCAAGGAAGGAATACTGTAATTCTAGTTCCACGCCAATTAATATTTTATCATGCATACTAAAAGAAAAAGGTGCAACAGAAGGATCTGGTAAAGAACACTACAGAAGTTGAGAGGAATATGGCTTGGTAATGAGAAGTAGGAGACCTAATTGTGTGTCCTTGCAGTAAATAAGGTAGAATAAATCAGGTAGAATAAATTTCAGAGGAGTGCTACAGGGCTTAGAAACAGAAGGAGACATGTTGTTTCCTTGCTTCCTGTATTGTAGGAAAATTTTATGAAGTTTATGAGGATTTCTAATGAACAGAGTAATTATTCTTGAAAAGTTTGACTTTTCAAAAAGAAAAAACAACCCCACAATACTCTAACTATTAGTATTAGGAAGAATTTCAAGTAGCTGTTCCTGAAATAAAAATTCTGTGAGGTATGGGCAACCCAATTCGTCTTAGTCAAGGCCTCAGAGATTCCACAGCCAGGTAGTTTGTAATTTTTCCATGATTTCAGGGTGTTCAGTGTTTCTGCCACGTAGTTCAATGTTTTGTTGAAGCCAGCTGTCTTATACTTTTTCTCTCCACTAAAATGTGCTTATGGCCTCCTTTTTCATCCCAGTTGTGTCATATAAAGTTTCTGAAATAAAGAGCATACTCTCTTGTCCTGGTTTATGGAACAAAGCAGCAGAAATCTTTTGGAACCAGAGTGGAATCTGTTCTATAAGTAGTTTAAGACCAGTATGAAAGCTGATAAGAAGGCAATTGAAAGGCAAGTCAGTAGGTGATGTTGGAGAAGTGTAGTTGTGTTGCCTGGCGACTATAACATAAAATCCATACTTGAAAATAATCCTAGTAAAAAGAATCATTATCAGGTCTTATCAGTTCTTATCTTTCCTTGTTTTCCATAGAAATCATTGTTTATGTAAAAACAGAAGCAGATGTAGGGCTTAAAGATGTTTAATAAGAGTTAGTGTGTTCAGTTCTGAAAGGCTACAGTTGCTGACATAACATGGGCTACAGAGGACCCAAACAAGTACTAGTAACAGTGGTAATTATCTCTTACACAGCACCTTTCATTTCAAGGTGGTGAATATTCTATTTTCATTCTCTGGGTAGGAAAAGGTGAGGAAAAAAGGAGTATGTTTAAGGTCACCAAACAGAGCAGTGACAAAATAGTTTTCTGTGTTCCAAGCCAAATCTGAGTCTCAAAACAGTGGTTGATTTAACTAATAATGAAAGCATCTTTCTACTACATTCCTTTAAAGAGATGAGAGGGTAGCCAAATAATAATTTGATGGCTTTTTATGAGGTATATAGATTTGAAAAATTTAGACATTAAGGAGAAGGATCACAGGTCAGCAGGAGAGCAACACAAAGGAATTCCAGCTACTCCAGCCAGTAAGTCTGCTTCATCGGGGGCACAACTTAAATGCCTCTATGCAAATGTAAGTAACAGGGGGAGTAAGCAGGAGAAGTTAGACATGTGCACACCTGCAGGTCTATGATCATATATGGCATCATGGAGACGTGGTGAGATGGCTCCCATGAATGGAGTGTTAGAATGTTAAATTCCTATTTTTATTAAAAATTGATTATTAAAATTGTACTAAAAAATTGAGTGATAGTGCCTGTCTGTGCACTGCTGCATACAATTCCCATTGCTTTGGAAATGAGTGAGGACTCAGGAATGTCATGAAGGCTTAGCATTCCACAAAATGTTTTCCTCTTCCACCTTTCACTCCATTGATTGTGTTCTGACATTCTGTTTTGGCAGGTACTGATATCAAAGTTTAAATGCTAGAAATTACAGTTGGTGTGATAAGAAGAAAGTAAACTTTTTAGATTTGCACTCTTTTATGTTTAGAGAACAAGATAATCATGCAAAACCAGTTTTTCAGGTATAATTTTTTTAACAGTTGCTGAGTGTAGAAAGTAGTCATCACAGCCAAGTTACTACCTGTGAAAATGTAAAAAACTATTAAGGACAAGACCATAATATGTTTAATTCACCTTCAATTTGTTAGTCCATTACAGTACTTGAATAGAATCACAGAATATAAGGCAGGAAGAGTTGTCAGAGATTATCCTGTCCATCTCCAAGTGTTAGAGCTACCTGTCACTCCTGACAGGTATTTGACCAGTCGGTCATAAATAATTCAAGTGATAGAAAGCCTCTCCCAAGGCAGACTGTGCTAAATTAAGGAACAGTTTGGACCAGCAGAAATGCAAAACCTGTCTTTACAGTCAGCAATCACATGTCTGAATGAGTCTCTTCTTTTCATCTGAAGATAATGTCTGAAAAACCATGAAGGATGCCTGACACACTGTCAGAAGATAATTAGAAATCCTGGGCATACCCATAGCACATACACACTGTGCTGTATACTGTATCTGCAGTTAGCCTCATGCTTTCAGAAAATACTGGTCTTGTTTTGTATGCTTGACAGAATATATGTGTTATGGATGTCTTGTTTCCAGGGGATATTAGATGGATATATGCATGTGCTCATGTGAGATGTGTATATGACACTTGAAATTTTCAGACTCGCTCTTAAATGTCATATAATTGCTCTGAGAACACTACGTCCAGGATGTCCCCAGAACACTGCATTTACTGAGCACATTCAAACCTGTTATATAGTCTATGAACACTTCTCCCTGCAGGATCCCTGCCAGATCAAAACGTTGAGCACTCAATTGCTGTTAGATGTTCTTAAACACTAACCTAAGTTTTATTTGTTGCAGTTTAAGCTGCTTACTTTATGTCCTCCCTACAGTGGAAATATCTAAGTTATTTCTTTTCTCTTATGTGTTATATCTCCCCTCTGTGATTTTTTTTCTTTGGACTGAATAATTGAATTCCATCAGTCTTACTTTGTAAATTGTGTTTTGTAGACCTCTGATATTCACATTTCTCTCCTTTTCTGTCTTTTCACATTTGTAAGTGTAGTCTTCAAAACTGGGCTCAGTTATTCCAACTGAGAACTTTATTGGTACCAAGTGGAAAGATTGCACAGTTCTTGGGGATGATTCTCTTTTTACATCCCAGTATGACATTTACCTTTTCTTAACAGCATGGTGTCACTGAGTCTTGCTCTGTTTCTGATCCACCAAAATTTCCACGCCATTTCCTGTAGAGCTGCTGTCTGACCAGTCCTTCCCCAGTCGGCGCATTTCAGAGCTGTTGCTCCCTCCTCACAGAACTTTGTATTCTCTCAATTTAAACAACTTAGTTCTTGTAGTTTCTTCAGTTTGACAAAACTTTCTTTGAAACCTGTTGTCGCTTGCGTTGGCGCAAGCCTGTGTACGATGTATCTGCTGTAATATACATGGTGTGAATGTATCGCAGCCTGTGCACATTTAATAGGCAGCCTATCCCATTATGCAAGATTATCACTGTAATTCAGTGACAACATTAAATGGTTTGGGAACAAGGTCAGAGGAGAGCCTAAAAAATGGTGCTTACTACCCATTTTCAATTTAACAAACACTCAAAGTAGTTACCAAGTTGAGTATCAATTTTTATGGTCAATTGTACAGCCAACTGATCGTGATTTTTGTCTAGGTCACGCTTCCCTAGATTTCTTGTAAGATGTCATGAGAAACATTGCCAAAAGCCTTACTAAAACCATTATAAATAACATCTACTTGTTCCAAGTGTACAAGAGCTGTTACCCTGTTACAGAGAGAAATATGTTGGCTCAGTATGTGTTTTCTTCTTGACAATTTCATGTTAGCTGTTACTCATTTTATTGCTTGCTTCTAGTTTTTTAAAAATACTTTAATAGTGGAAATAGTTCCTTTTTTTTCCTTGAAATAAAAATTCGATTGACTAGTGTATAAGGCTGTAATTACTTGTCTAATAAAGAAGATTAATTAACCACTGTTTGCAAATCCTGCTGGAGAACTCTATATTTCTTGAAGACAATAAAGTTAGTTCTTCTGGACAACAATATGGCAAAATAGAGCTTAAAAAATTATCGTTAACTTTATTTTAGTTAAACCTAGGGTTTTTTTTTTGTTTTGGTTTTTTTTTTTTTTTGACAGTGTTTAATTGAATTTATAAAAGATTACATTCCTGTTGAAAGTCAAAAAGTCCAGTTTAGGTTTCACTTCTCCAAAAATGAAGTGTATCTGATTTTACAGTGGTAATAGAGAGCAGTAAAGAGAGAAACAGTGCAAGTGTACAGCATGTGGATGAAAGAGCCTTCAGCTTGTAGGCAGAGGTTTTTCTTCATGGCTGGGACACAAATTTCCAGAGGTGCTTTTGCTCAGTTATAAAGATGCATTCTGGAAAAAAAAGTTATTTGGTTTATAATTTGAATATTCTTGCACAGGGACTCTTTTCTCCTTAGATTTCCTTTTGAACTGTGTTTTTTCATACTAGAAGGCAGAGTTTGTTTTGACAAAGGTAGCAAACAACCAGACCAATGGGTAAACTGAGGTACTAGTTTGTTGTAAAAATAAACTGGATCAACTGATGAGACCTCCAGAAGGATTTGTATAATACTAGACTCTAGAATAAAGTGTTGATATGGCACAAGTCAGATGAATATATACCAATATAAATTATGGTTCAATATTTGTGGTATTTTGAATAACACGCTGTTTAACAGATTTCTTCAAAGGATAAGTATCTGTCTTTCTGCCTATCTGCAAGAAGTCTCTCTAAGGATGTGAAAGTGGTTGTTTCAAGGTGTTGGAGAATACTTTCTCCATGCTCTTCTCACAAAATTTTGTTCTTTATATCCTTATATTCTTACATAGGTCCTTATGGTCCCACTCCAATGTTAAGCAGAAGTGGTACAGAACTTCTGTCCCAGCCTTCTCCAGCCAGTGTACTTTTATCCTTCTAAATCAGTCAGGCTCACTAGTCAAAAGAGAAACAACAGTATATGGTCTCACTTTTTGATAATTTTTAGCTATTGTCTAAGTAGGGCAAAATATATTGCAGTAAATTTAGATATTGCTCTCAGATTAGTAATAAAATACAGTATATTCAGATATTATGTAAATAGACTAGATTTTATGTATAGACAGGTTATAGCTTTGCAGTTTATATAACTGTTTTAAGGCTTTAGGATACATTTAATTTCTCTCTGAACAATTTCTGTAGCAGGTATGATGATGATTTTAATTGTGAAGTCTACAGAATTCAGTTTGGACATTTCAAACGGGTTACCTTTCTTGCTATGGCAGTTGGATCTGCTACCAATTGGTAACAGCAGTCTTTTTGGCAACGTTGAAAGAGGTTTTAAGTTTGAAATGTCCATGCGATTTGACCCTTGTCTCCCTTTACTTTGATGCAGAACAGGAGAATTGGTTCTTTTCAGTAACTGTGCACTGAACTGTTCAGGGCAGTGTAAGCGTGCTCAAGGGTCAGGACTAGACTACTCTGTTTAAGTGAGGCTGAGAGCCATCTTTAGTGGTTGCCATGCCATGCTACACTGTAGTCACTGCTATTGTGGCATTTTGGACATAAGTTCAGTCCAGTATAAGTATAAAAGGATCTTTTCTCACCCAAATTTAAAGAGAAAAGCTTGAAAAGCCATCTCTTACAAGTTAAGTCACAGTCTGGGGAGTTGAACTATTTGGGAGTAGGTGGAGAAATAACTTAATTGACCATTATGCAGACAGAGATATAGTCAGTGCTCAGGGGTGTCGTGAGGTTCTGAAGCAGGAAGGGTTTTCAGCATAAACCCATTCTGCTGTGTCCCGACAAGGTCAGAATACTTCATGGGAAAGACTTTGGAAGACTATTGTCTTAGATACAGGGCAAATTGTCTTTGACTCACTTGGTAAGAATTTAAGTGTTTAAGAATGTATTATCTCCTGAAATTACTTTAATACTAAAGATGCTAACTTGTTTAATCTGATCTGTTTATATAATTTATCTCCTGTTGTCATTTCACACTTTACTCTCACAAGATAGAGTGAAAATAAGCATGAATTTATTTATGCACAACAGAATGATATAAGAAGGCTTGGAACAAAATATATAGGGATCATAAAAACAGTCTGTTTTTAAAATACATTACATTAAACCAGAAGCAATAACAGGGGTCAGGGATCTCTATTCTTTCCAGAAACGTCATAAATAACAGCAGAGACAGAATTTTAAACTCATTAAAAGAACCCCTTGCTACATTTGGTCAGTTAATTCTTGGGGGAGTCTCACTGGCATCACATCATATCAATTTCACTTCATGTTTTACTATCATCTTGACTGTTGTGCCTGTCTTGTATTGTTCAGAACTGATCTGCTGTTTATTATCTAAGCTGCAAGAGAGTAAATCTCCCACTGCTTGTATCTGGGAACCTACTATATTTGTCCAGTCTTTTATTTTTTCTGTGATTCAGTATTTCTTTCTAGTCTGGCATTTGTTTATTTTTTTTCACTTCCAATGCTTGTTATGAAAAGACTTTCATCAAGAATAAAGATGCCTTTTATGTAAAGGCTAGAAATAATGTGCTTAGATTAAGAGTTTGAAAGTTTTGCTCTAAATTTAGACTCAGTGGCTGAACCAAGTACCATGTAGTTGTGGACTAACAGGTAAGTGGGAAGAAAAAGTATATTTTTATGTGTATGTTTATAAAAAGAAGTGACACTTTCATTTGCAGGTTTTCTGGATAAGGAAGTGCTGGATAAGGACAATATGTAAGACTTCCCTTTTATTCTTTGTTGTCAGAAAAATTGCAAGAGGTTGAATCTTCATAGCAGCAGCGATGGAGCAGCCAGTTGCAAAAGTCAGTTTTCAGAAAATACCGACCTCCAAGCTGAAAGTTGTCAATCTGTGTGTGGAAAAGATGAGGGAAGAACGCATGAAGAAATCCTGGTAGAGGATCACAGCACTTCAGAGAACTCTGGAAAAGGTAGTCAATAGCAAAAGAAGCATTAGGAGTACTATTATGCTGGTTATAGCTGGGTTAAGTTTCTTTGCTTTAATTTTCATGTGCAGATATGTTCTCTGAATTAGATGATGAGCTGGATGTTTTGGACAACTCGAGCAGCTCCAGTTCAAATCATCTGAAAGAGTCTACTATTGGTAAGACTGCTTAAGAATGAAGTGTACACCACTTGCTAACAGCAAAGTAGTTGTTTATTTCAAAATATTAGGGTGTTTCCTGATTTGTTGCAAGTTCATTATCTGTTGTGGTCCTAAACAAAAGAGAAATAAAATAACTGCCTCTGTGGCATCTGTTTCCAGTATGTAGTACATTTTTGCATCACATTTTCTTTGTGTAGCATGTCCCTATATTTTGAAGTAATGACTATGAAAACTAGAGTTTTCAATACTGTGCTATACAACGTTATGCAAATGAATAAATGGAGTGCCCTGTTAGGAGATGTAAAAAAGAAAGTTGAAAGAGGCAAGCTTTAGCTGTCCAGATGAATTGACTAAATGTAATTGAAGGAATGCTTAATGATTAGATTTGAATTAGGAAGGGATTATGTGACAAAACACAGCATTAGTTCTGCCTGCAGTTATTTGTGGTAATCAGATAGGAAAGTAACAGCTGTGTTAGGTGTTATCTCAAGTAACAAAATTTTGGATTCTATTACAAATATGAAAATTAAAAGAAAAATGAAGATGCAAACATCTGCAATCACTGTGCTAAGTTCTAAGCTACCATGGTCTACCTCTTAAATGGGATGGGATTCTGATTAGAGGAAAATCAAAGAGCATCTTATACGAGAATAAAAAGATTGATATTATTGCTGAGAAAAGTTTGAGATTTCCATTCATCCCAGAGGTTCTGACAGAAAATCTGTGGATCATTTAAACTGTCCTTTTAAAAGGTGAAGGGAATGTAGTTGTCTGAAGATTAACAAACTTTATTGTTCCAGGGTCCACATTTCAAAAAATGTAAATATCATTACTTTTTCTGTTTGTAGTGCTATTTGCTATTTGGCTTTGCTTCAGGTTTTGACCCAGGTACTGAAGAAATATGACTGCTTTGAATTGAAATGTCTAGCCATTAATGCAGGGTAAATAAATGATTTGATAATTCTACTTAAAATCTGTTAATATGTTGTGCTAATTGTAACTGGATAGCCTGCCACTCTAAAGGCTGGACGACCTGTTGCTAGCCAGCCCTGAGTTTATTATCAAGTTTTTTTAAAGAGACAAAAAAACAGAGGAAAAAAAGAAAGAAGGCATTTTCTTTGTTACTTTCTTGTGCTAAGAGAGTAACAGGAAAAGATTACAGAGTATAGAAAAACCTAGTCTGACTGTGGGAGGGGGTTGCATAGAAAGAATGTATTGAGGAAAAGCAGCCTGCAAAGGCAATGTTCTGTTTTGGTGTTTATCATGAAGAATAGCACAGTGTGCATGGGCTACTTCAGCATGGTACAAAGACATTTGAAATCTTTTTCTAATATTTAGTTGTTTTATGCTGGATTTCCATTGATGAGATATTTTAACTGGAAAGATCCAGTCAGTTCCTATTAATCGCAGTAACTTGAATCAGCATTTCTAGAAGTCCTTGTCTGTTTTCCTCTCAGCAAAGAGTTTAATTGGTATATAGGTACTTCAGGATTACTTTTTCAGAAAAACAATTCTGCAGCTATATGTTCTTAGATCACCTGTAATTTCTGCTTAATGTTGAAATTAATGTTGTAGATCAGTTGTAATTACTGCTTGTAATTTTTTCTTCTTTTTGGGGACAAAGAAAAGATAGCTTTTAAAAAAGTATATGAATTCCATCTCTTTGGCTATTGCTTTGGTTATGGTCCATTTTTTGCTAGTAAATGCCTAACAGTGTATGAATTATCAGCCATGGTTGTGTCAAGCATGGCAGCATTAGAGGGGAAAATGTGACTGATTTCCATCTAGCTAACTTGGAAACGGCTAACATGAAAATGGGAGTCTCAATTACAGGTGTATTGATCGGGGTCTTGAAAGGGTTTGTCTAATTATGCTGCCATCACATCACTTTCACAGAAAATGTGATTTGCAGATGTCAACAAATACTGCTCTATTTTAGAACTGAAGTGGTATTTTGTAAAAAAGATGTGATATATTGAGTTGATCAGTGGGACAGAAGCTGGTATGTGTGTGAGTGACAGTGTAATAGTGGTTGCCTTTTTTATAGTCCACTAATTGTCATAATATTTAAAAAAAAATTACATACCCTGTGCTTTTCAATTATGCTTTAAAAAAATGTTTATTGCTCTTAGTCTAGACAACGTAGCTTTACAAGACCAGGTCCTTTAACAATTCCTAAGACTGCCAAATGCAGGGTATGAAGATTCTGGAATAGTTGCTGATGCTAATTGAAATGATTAATCCTACAGGCACAAGATTCTGCACATTTCAGAAGCACAGAAGTAGTAGTGGGAGATGCGATTTTTTTCTCTGAAGTCCTTGTAATTTGAAATGATAAAGATTGACAGAGGATAAGGACATACTGAGTCAAAAAGCAGCAAAGAGTGATGGGATAATTGCAGCTTATTAGTTGCTTTATTTTTTTTTATTTTAAAATTAAGACAGTACCAAACTTTACCTTAGCTCATCATATTTAAGGGATTTTGACCTGCTTTGATTTACAATGTAATTGTACCTGCGTTTCTACTGGTAAGCCAAATAGAAGGAAAATATGTGGTATGCCTTAGAACACTGTAGTCCAGTAGAACTAGTATGTCAGTTGGGCGAGAGTTTAAAAGTTTACTTTTCGTGAGGGAATACTTTTTAGAAGATTTTTTTTTGTTTCCATGAATTGTGTTAATTTACACTACAATCAGGACAATATCCTAAATATATTGAAAGACTAGTTCTCTGTAAAATACTCTATTAGAAAACTCTAGTCCCTAGGATTTGATGTACTTGCCCTCTGACCTTCCTCACAATAAAAGGTAAGCATACAATAGGACCCTTTCAGAACTGCTCAGCTCTCAGCTTTTCATGAGGCTGTGAAGTGTCAGTGCAGTCCTGTTGTGCTGTATCTTGCTTAGGAGTTTTCCTGTTACCTCATAATTTAATGTATGTTTCCCGTATTTGGAGAATCTCTCAATTTATCTAACTTGTGATGTATAAGCAAAGACACTGAGATTCACTAGCAAAAATTTCTGCAGTGCAATAGTATTCAGAATTACCATGTAATGAAGAGACCAGAGATCTGCCAGAAGAATATTATAATGATGTAGCTCCAGAAAGGTCTCCTATATTTTTCATTGTGCTTTTAGAAAAGCGACTTTTTTACACAGTGCCAGGACTTGAGTCTTCTGCTGGTAATGCTCAAAGCAGTCAAAAGTCTGCTAATTAGCAAAACACTTAATTCTTTGCTCTGCAAAACAGCTTAATTAACATGGCTGGGACTGTTCATTCCAGTGTACAGTGATTTAAAGGGAAGCTTACTAAGAGAATTTTGTTAAACAAAGGTAATTTGACCTTTCTTCTAGAAAAATCATTAAGCCATCATTCAAAAGAACACTTCCATTTCTTCCATTTCATTCAAGGAGATGAATTGACATTTTCTGCTAAGATGAAACCTTGATTCAGTTTTCCTATCAGTCTGTTCAAATTTGAAAGGGTTTTCAGAGGTGGTGTTTTGTTTTGGTTTTTTTTTTTAATAGAAGTGAAAGTGAAAGCCAAAGCAAAAGTTACTGTCTTTCCAGTTTTTTTTCTGAACTTGTATCATGTTCTAAGCTCTTCTTGAAATTACACGGTTAGTTGCCTGTGAGAGAAAAACACTAAACTGCAGATCAGAATGTATTTGTATGATTTGCACTGATGTCAATGCATCTTATAAAATTAAATCCTTAGAAGTTGCTTTAATTACATCAGCTATTAAAGATCAAAGTAGCAGTCAGAAAAATGCTTGGTGTCTCATTTGATATCTATATCTTCACAGACCTATTCAGAATGGGGAGGCTGATGAGAATCAAAAGCTTTGGCCTTTTGTGTGTCTTTCACATTGCAAGAAGGGTGGGGACAAAACAGAAGAGAGACAGAGGATTTATATTTCATTTTCCTTGAGATCATCTTGAACTGAGAAATTCCTTCTTGCAAGGCATTTGAACAAAACATATGTTGCCTTGTTCTTCCCATCCACGTTATAGGAGTAACCATGGTAAAAGGAAATATGTGCTTCATGACTTATGTTAGATCACTATCCTACACATCTGTGTTGTTTTCTTACTCGCTGTCTGACTTGTATGATCAGCATAGCTCTTACACAAAAGACTGAGAATTATAACTAAAGTCATTAGTGTTCATGGGTGTGTGTGTACACACGTCAATGTGCTTGTTTCAATGATTTTTAGATGTCTGACTCTCCTCATGCTCAGTTATTGAAGCAAGTATTTCACAATGTGTTTTCATAGAGAGACTCCTCTCAGTTGTAGCTGCTCAGTGGGTCTCTAACAATAACAAGCAATAAAAATGGTGCTGAAGGGTGTTGGCTATTGTTTACTGATGTTCTGCATCATGATTTCTTTTTTTTTTTAGCATTAATAAGTATTTTCCTAACTTTAGCATATGAATCAGAATACATTACATCTCTGCCACATAGAGTGGTGAGACTCTTCGGTGTGAAATATCACGCACTTGTAAATACACTCATAAAATGGCAGATTAGCAAGTCAAATGGGGTGAGTCATCAAACTGATCAAGAAAATATGGATGAGCCCTTTACTGATAGATAAACTATTTATTTGAAGCAGCCAAAGGGCATAGTATTTCAGATCTAATTTTGTATACGAATACTTGGAAAAGGGAGCTGTTTTATAATTCTAGCAAACAGCTGGGTTCAAACTCAGATTTCTAGCCAAGTGACTTCTGTTGCAGATCTTCTTGCATACATTCCCATAACATATTATAGTCTTTGTTATAACAGTGTCTGAGGTTGTAACTCAATCCTTATCCCAAGCAACATGATTCGGGTTCAGTCAGAGCTTCTACTTTTGTATTTGTCTTATTGTGTTTGCATCCTAAGCAGGTAAAATATCTATTCCTTAAATAGACACGATCATATTTTTCTTTTATTTCCAAAGGCCTTCCTCACTTTCTAGACAGTGGATACTGGATTTTCCAATCTCTTTTTCTGTCCCAGTGTTAAAGTTAATTGAAGTATCTTTGCTTCTTAAAGGGCCCAGTTTATCTGCTATTATGTAAATCAACTGCTCTTATTAAACCTTCTTTTGGGTTAATTACTACAGAGTTTTAATATCTGTTTTTCTGGAGAAAGCATTAGCAAGGAATAAAATACTGTTTCTTTTTATTTTGTTCTGTGTGTCTTCTTTTTAGGGAGACAGATTTGGCTGAAAGATGTATAATTTCTTTTGGTTTTAAAGTGAATTCTGTGTGACAGATGCCAGCCTCCCTCAGGATTTTTTTTTTTTTTTTAAATTCAGAGGATCTCAGGAAAGTGGGAAAGATAGAGGTACTATCTTTCAGAGCAAAACAGAAAGTGTGTTTGAACACAAAGAAAAGATTTAAGGCTCTCAGAAATGTGTTTGTTCTCTGAAAGTCCTCTACTGTTGCTCTAGAACTAATATAACTGCTGTAACAAGACCAACAATGGGAAACTAGTTAAGTTTGGCATAATTTTTTTTTTTCTTAGCTACTGTTTGAGTGATTAGATGCCTCTGTTCTTGTTTTATGATATGCTTGTGATGCTACTAGTGTGTAAAAACATCTCATGTAGACAAAGATGCAGGGTATTATGTTAAAATGCAATACTTGTATGGGAAAATAGTTGCAGAATTTCCTAATCTTGCTACTCAGACCTTCAGTTAGCTGAAATATATTTTGATTTAAACAAACACTTATTCTTCATTCAGAGAGAGATATCATTTGTAAGAGTGGTCTCATATGTCAAAATTACCATCAAAGGAATGATTTTATAGTTATGTTTGAAAACAAATGTTTAAGGCAAATACTTGCTTGAAGACAATGCTTTCCAAGTGCATAACTAACCGATATATCATCAAACATTATACCTCCTTCACATTTTGTTGGCACTGTGCAATAAATGACATAAATGTTTGGGTTCAGTTTTATTGCTGATTAGATGTTTGACCAATAAGTGGTCATACCTCTGTCTTCAAGTTCTTAAAATCAGTGGGATTATTTAAGAAGTAAGGTGTTACATATGTAATAGTTTAAATAGTTAGCTAATAGAATGGTGGCAATAAAACTCTGGTAGAATGTTTAGACAATCCACCAAAAGTCCTCTGAGAAAGTGGGTAAATGTTCTAGCTTTTTATCCAAATGGGAGGCAAGACTACAGTGGTAGCAGTAACAGAAGTAGTTATTTAATGTAAACCAGATACATCTTCTGTGGGCAGCAAGTCAGCATATGTTATTAGTTTCTGTGGAATTCTGAAAGGCTGAGATTGTAGTTATGATGCAAGCAAATCTTTGATACTTCAGATAGCAACTCCAGAGTCAAATGGGTGTTTGGAGTTTGTTTAACACTGCCTTTTAAAAGTTATTTTGATGCCATGCCTGGGAAATAGAAAATATTAACATGTATATATATATTTCTAAATACAGAGATAATATCTATGCATTTGTTTCAGGTATAATTAAACAAAGTTTTAATGTTTCTGAAAGACATCATCAGATTAGGTAGGTATGATTTATGTTTTTAATATAAATTATATAATTGGTCATTGTTATGATCAATTCCAGTTTGTTGTGTCACAGTGGAACAGTTGGACAATTACCTTCATGAAACATTTCCCTACTTATTGTTACAACTTCATGTTATCTCAGCCTTTGCCACTTAGTCTGCTTGATGATATTGTTTGAGGGTTTTTGCACAGAGAAGCTTTATGTGAGTAATTTGAGCATTTGCATTAAACTGATAAATAGTTTTAAAAGTGGACCTTTAAGTTACATCAGCTTAAACTGACATTAGTTGGTTAGTCAAATTCTGGTTTTGCATTTTTAAAAGGCTGTTTTTCTATAGAAATATGTATTTGTGCATTTGATAGTGTAGAGCAATATCTTGTCCCTCTGGACTCCTCTAGACCTTCTATATAAGTGTAGATACCTATTTTTGGAATTCTGGAGTCCTCCTAATCTCTTTCGAAAAGGAAACAAACCAAGACAGAATACAGCATGGCCATCCCCGTTCTCTTTCTAAAGGTCTTTCCTTTTTCTTCTGCCATTGAGTCAGAAATGCATCAGGCACATTCTTGACCAACCATTATTTTTTCTGATCTTGGCACCACTCTTATAGACTCTGTTCTTTTTTTCTTAATTTCTGCTTTTCTTTCACGTATGAAAACAAGAGCACTCTTGGCTCCATCTGCCTCCTGAACAATTTTTTTTTTTACCTTTAACCTAACTAGGTAAGTATTGATTCCTCTGCCCTGTTTCTCCACAGACCGTGTTTGATCCAGCTTTTAATTAAGGAATATTACCACAACAACTCTTACTGAACTGTTTATTGACCTCTCCCAAGTCATAGTTCCTTTATTTTCTTTATCTGCTATTTATCATTGGCACTATCTTTGTCTTCTTCAAAATAATGTTTTTCTGGTTCTTCTGATTATCCTTTTCTAATTTTCCCCCATCTTTTGAAACTATTCTTAAGGACCATTCAGAAGGATACTAGTTTATCTGTTCATCTAATTTCCTCTGGATGTTACACATGGCTTTATCTGTGATTCTCTTGTCTTTTCTTCTGCATTTTGTCTTTGCATATACAGATGTGTCTACTTATTCATACACCTGCAAAATCATGCTGCAAGTAGTGAGTTTAGATGTATACCTCAGATATGTTTCCTTCTGTCACTCATCTCTCACTAGCTTTCCAGTTTCTGTCCTGCTGCAGTCAGGAACGGCAGCCTACTGATGCTTGAGCATTGAAGCAAGCACATTTGTTTTTGTTGTTTTTTTTTTTTTTTTTTCCTCCATATCTCCCCCTCATAGAAATGTTAGCACAACTATCTCATCTCTTTTTCATAACTACTCCCAGCAACTATAAATTTCCCTACTGCCTAAAAAGTGTGTACGAATTCTTGCAATGCTGGGGCTGTTGATGCTGCCACCCATCAGGACATCATCTTGGTTCTTTCAGTTCCCCATCTCTCTGTATGATTGTTGTTGCTTATGTCAGCTAGTGGAATCTTCAGGCTGGGACAGTGTTTGTGTTGAGTATAGAGCAGAAGCAAGCACTGAAACACCTGGACCTGTATTTCTGACATTCAGCTATTGTTGTCCTGGTGATGAAATGATTATGGTTTTTCACCCCACTTTATACTAGTACTGTATGCATTATTGCTCCTGATTTTATCTACTAGACAATAATTACTTTATTCTTTGTTTTCGATCCATAAAATGGGTTAATTGAAATGTCCTTAAACATGTGCAAATGTAAAATAATGTATAATCTAGTGGATTATTGAATTTTAAATATTAAAATCCTGTCTTCTGGTTTTGTACTTTCCAGTCTAAAACCTGAGCATGGAAAGGGAGTCTAACTTCTATTTAGTAGAAGTCATGCTATCTTTGACACATAGAGCAAGCCAGCACTGTTAAAAAACAGTGAATTCAGACAGATTTATTTCAGAGGAAGCATGAGAAGTAGTCAGGGAATACTGTTATTTTCTCTACAATCATTGATGCCAATCACAATTAAAACTACCTTTTTTTTTTTTTTTAAATAATAGTAGAGATTATATTGAACATCCAGGATCAAGACTGCGACCAGGTACTTTTCTGCTTGCACCAAAGTTTAATTTAAATTAAACCTAACAATTTCCAATTTTTTAAACCTTATTCTCCTGTTGCACATAGAGTATCTCTTTTTTTATTTATTTAACTTTACTGCCTTTTGATCTGCTCCTGAGAGTGTCTCTGCTCATGCTCAGGCCCCACTTTAAGAAAGTAGAGGATTTGTATGTGACACCGTGGCAGTCTCACAGTCTTGTAGTTGTAGTGTGTTGCAATATGAAAAGTCATGGCACCATCTAATAATTATATTTTTAAATGTTAGAAAATCAGATAATTGTTTCATATGCAAATATGTTATCTGAAATATCCTTAAGGATTTTTTTTTAAATATGAATTCCAATAGTAAATCAGTAAGAACTCATTTTAATGGTCATTATCTTGGCTAAACTTCTGCTGGATGCAATGGGAATTCCTGTTATGAAAGGAAAATTTCATGGACCCCTTGTAAATTATCACGTATTTATACATTATCACTGATGAAACGAATTTTCCCCTTAAAATACTTCTCTTCCTTATTGAGAAGCTTTTCATACTGTAAGCTGCTAAACTGTGATTTCAGAATGCATATTGTCTGAATTAAATAATATTTGAAAGAAAATTATTTTGAGCAGTTGAAGTGTCAACCTTTATTTTAAAAAGTACCTTTTGTGTATATTAACTTCTGTTTCACAGCTTTTTGATATAAAAAAGACTTAATTATACAGTAAAAATAAAAATTTGCTGTCCACTTTCAGCAGTTTTCAATGCTGTTTATTGAAGAGTGCCGTTATAATACCAACATGCAGTTTAAACCCACTGTCTAGCCATAACGTATCAGAGCTATAATGATCTGCAGAAAAACACTTTAGCCTTTGTTAATATTTTCAGTCCTGTGAGTAATTTGAGCAAATAAAGTATCTTTTGTCAGTAATGTTGTCCTTTTTTGTAAAACTTTTAAATGTTTTGATCCTCAGCAGCCTATTCACGCACACATACCCTTACCCCCCAGATAATGCTTATTAACTTCTTGTATTTAAAAAAAAAACAACTGTGGAGTGGTCTAGAGTATGTGGACTTTATGTGAACTCCTGAAGTTCCTAGCTGAACACTGGGTCTCTAGCTGTCTTTGAAGCATGTAGATATTACACCAGGTTCTCCTAGACTAGTAAGTCATACTGTTGCTGTCATACTAGAAAAAAGAGAAAGTTCTACACACTGAGTAACAGGGAAATGCATGTTACGTCCTACTTGGTCCTTTCTCATTGCTGATATTATCCTAAGCACATTTTTATTCAGGGGGAAAAAAAAAATCTGAGAAGACACACAAAACAAAGGGCACTAATTAATTTGATTTTGTTTTGTAATACAAACCATTGACAGCGAAGGAGAAGTCAAATAGAACAATGAGCACTGAAGAAGGTAACATGTCAAAGAAGTAAAATTTTTATTGGTGTCCTAACAAAAATCGAAGATTTCTAGGTTGTAATGGCAAGACCACACTATTTATTTTGGGATTGCATATAGCTATGTTGAAACAGTTGCTAGAGAGGTGAAAATGAAGCAAAAAGAGCTAAATCAAAATCATTCTTCTCATGGCATGTGATATTTTAGATTATTGTAGCTGTCATCTTGAGCAGAAAGACCAACCTAAATTCTTAAGTGGCTCAGGGGAAATACAAGACTTTTTTCAGTTATTGATTATTAAGTGGAGACTTAAGAAAAAATGTCAAACTGAATTTCACTTGCCTTTTTCAACCCACCTGCCAGAAGGCATTGCCACAAAAATTCTGACAATAGCAACAGTGTCGTTATCTTCCTGATCCTACTAGAAATGTGTGTCTCTGTGATAGGGAACGACATTTTCTGTATGTCTTTATTTTCTGTGAGAGTGCAGCTCAGATCTGAATGGTCCCTAGACACTTCTCTCTGTGAATGTCTCTCGTTGACTTCCTGTACCCAGCACAGAAATTCAACAGGAAAAAATTTATAATTGTTCAGTAGTGGGCTAATTAATTTTGGTATTTGGATTTCATCTCCCTCTCAGTAGAATTTTCATTCTTGATACCAGATCACTCTGAAAAAACAAACAAACTAACAAAACAAAACCACCCAAAAAAGTTTAGGCGGCTATAAATCTGTACATAAGACTATGATACTTAGGGTGTATCTGTTTGAGGAAATTTTAGAATATGGATCTAGATTAGCCTCTGAAGTGTAGTTTAGAGATAACTATTTATGAGAGATTCAGGACTGCTGGCTGAAGTTCAATACTTGGACCTAAGCTCTTTGCTTAGTTTCCAGGTCTAATACTGAACTTGGAAAGATAATTTTGTTAACTAATGCCCTTTAGTGATAAACTAAGGGTTTTACTGTGGCAGTCCGCTGTTAAGCTTTTATTTAATCTCTGGGTCTGACAGTGTGTATGGCTTAAATACACAAGATTAAAAATCATAAATAACAACTGATTTAACTCATAAACATTCAAGAATCTGATTTAGTTTTGGCTCTATACACTTTCTCAGCAGGCAAAGCATGATAGAGGAAAAAGAGGTAAATAAGAATCAAGCTGTTAGGTTTCATTTAATTGTTATATTTAAAATCTGAATGATATTTTCTAAATCTTCACAGTGTATAGGATACATAATATTTACTTCTAGGTCCTAATTCTATTAAATTACCTAGAGCTTCATCAGCAGTATTTCTCTATTGGTTCTTACGGCTTATTCCATGGAACACAAATTATTATGTCTTTATTTGGTTCAGTAAGTAGAATCCCAGAAATGTTTAGGTTGGAAAAGGCCTTTAAGATCATCAATTCCAACCTTTAACACTGCTAATACCACCACTAAACCATGTCCCTACACATCTCTCAAGTGCCTCCAGGGATGGCCCTGGGCAGTCTGTTCCAAAGCCTGAAAACCCTTTTGGAGAAGAAATCTTTCCTAATATCCAATCTAAACCTCCCCTGGCACAACTTGAAGCCATTTCCTCTTCTCCAGTCACCTGGGAGAAGAGACCAACCCCCAACTCTCTGCAACCTCCTTTCAGGTAGTTGTAGAGAGCCATAAGGTCTCCCTTGAGCCTCCTCTTCTCCAGGCTAACCCCCCCCAGCCCCCTCAGCCATTACTCACAGGACTCAGCCCCTCCCCCAGCTCCGTTGCCCTTCTCTGGACACACTCCAGCACCTCAGTCTCTTTCTTGTAGTGAGGGGCCCAAAGTTGAACTAACAGGTAAGTTAGTTACCTAAAATGTTGACTATATTTTGTTATAATATCCACAAATCAGTACTGAGTTTATTGTGCTTTGTAAATTCTAAGTAATGCTCAGTCATTTAGGTAGTCAAGTGAATTTGGTTTTGCTTTTTATCAAGCTGCCTTTGGATAGTGTTTTTCAAATATCTCAATGAATATGGCAGGAAGAAAATCACATGGATATTTGATACCACTTGCTGGTAAATTAAAGTGGTTGTGCTTCAGAAAAAGAGCACAGCCTTTTAACTACCAAGCTACTTGTACTACAAAAAAGAAAGAAGTACCTAGAGCAGACAATATATTTCAGATTCTGGATGACCAAGATCATATCTGATTTAATGGCTGTTTCTGCTAAGTCCCGAACAGTAGTTCAGTGGGGGAAATAAGCTTTCACTTTCAGCTTTTGTTTTGGTTCTTGATACCAAGAACTAAATATTTTCACATAACTGCTATATTTTTTGATCTGATTTTAACACATAGAAGTGAATGAACAGATTAAAATTGTTGCGTTAAATTCATTTCCATGAAAGAAAAGCATAGCTTCTATTCATGCATGGCTTCCTTTGCAGTGTTTTGTGTATGAAAAGGTTACAATATGTAAATGGATTTGCTTGACAGAGGGTGATAGTCTGGCTTTAGAGGAAGAGGAACATATTTACACCTACTCACTATTTTCTTAAGATGAGAAAAATTCATCTTCCTTGATCCTTGCCACCATAATTAATTCACACTTATCTAAATAAAATCAACAGTAATCTAATATAAATGATATGAGAAAGCCTAAATGTTTGAAGTACTGCAATATTCTAAATTCTAAGGTCATGTTTTTTTCTTTTAAGTCCAAACTGACTCTGTTCTTCAGAGTATGTAGTACAAAATGTGTCAGTGTCAGTGGGTGTGATGGATGCTTTTTAGCAAAGATCACTTTTGGATACCCAATTAAATAGTTAAGCACTAAAATATAAGCCTGCGTGTGCACTCTTTGTGAATTTGTGCGTGCATATCTATTGCGTGTTTTGTTATGCAATAAATAAACGAATAGTTCAAACACCGTGTGTTTAAAAATAAGATGTTTTTGTGGATATCTGTTTTAGAAGAAAATATTAAAACCACCTTAAAGCAACCTTATTTTCTGAAAGTGCAAATACTTTCTTTTTGTGGATCTCCAACATCATGATCTATTCTTAATAATGAGTCAATTAATATTTTATCTTCTGATCTGTCTAGTGTACAAACCTACTTGAAATGTTAATGCTTAGAGAAATGATATGGAAATATATTAAGAGGCAAAACATTTTTCAAAACTGATAAAATATTTAATTTCTAAGTTTGTTTAGTATTTTCTTTTTCTTCAAAGGGGCCAACTTTATATGCTGGGGTGCGGGGTGGGGATAAAATTTTCATTATATATAGTGTACATGTAATGAGCATACCTCATATGCATATGTACATGGGAATCTGTGTTAATATTTTCTGCTTTGCATAACCCTGTTTTGTGGTTTGCTTAACCTCATGCATTTTTCTATCTAACTAGCTTTGCATTTAAAAGTTTTTAAAACCCCCTTGTCCCTTATAGTCACAGCTCAACACCACTACTTTTATGGATATTACAAGCAAAAGCAATATACAGTCTGTAATACAGAGCAGTTGTCTGTACTCTTCACTTCTCTGGGAGAGGAATTTTTACAGCATTATTTGCTTAGCATTGATCTTCTTCTGTTCTAAACAAGAAAAATGCCATTTACATGATTTATGATGATGTCATTTTGGTTATAGAGAATGCTGGTAATAGGCCCTTTCCACAGTTTCCATCAGTACGTCCTTTAGATAGGATCATCTCTGGTGGGGAGGAATTTATGATAAAGAATGGAAACCACTGATTTTCTGATGCAAAGTAAAGAAGATCCAAGAGATTAATAGCTTCTTGCACATTTTCTTGAGTTTTCTCTCAAAATGTGCTCTTGTGAGATGTTGGAAACAAAAAGTAGCTGTGATAAAGCCACAATAAGACAATGTGAAAATATATCTTAATAAAATTTTTCTCCAAATGGTCCACATCAGACATTTTACTGTAATCTTTAGGGTAAAATGAAAATGAATTTTATAACATCAAAATGTATAAAAAATAAATGTCGTGTATTGGTCTATGTAAAAAAAAAATAGTTAAACTAAGAAAATCCTGTTTATCATGTCTTTACATTTCCTATTGAACAAATGTGGGAAAACGATCCTGATTAATGAAGTACATTAATAATTCTTTTCTCTTAGTGTTACTTGGAAGTGAATCAGAGAAAGGGATTTTCTTTAGAAACCTGTTATGAATTACATTGTCGAATCTTTTAAGCTTTTACATTATCTTTTTTGTTTTGTTTTGTTTCCGACATTATTGGAAAAACAAGTTATATATTAAAACTTAATATTCACATCTTCAACTTTTAAACTGTGTATGCTATTAATATATTAAGGCAACAAAATGAGCTCTCCTCCTGATTTTACTGTTGTCATCTACAGCAAAAACGGAAGGTGCGTCAGATCACTGACCCTGTTCAGCAGATTCTTATTCAGCTGCACAAAATTATCTTCATCACTCAAGTATGCATTACTGTTGCTTCTGACATTCTATACTTCTTAGTTATTTGCTGTTGTCAAAATGATGGTACTGCAAAGTGCTGCTAATTTAGTCACAGTTCTTTAAAAACAACAGAACTTGACATTTTTGCAGATGGCAGGATGATTTAAAAATACATCATTTAAATAAAGACTAACCTTGAATATTAGTATGTGGAGGATGGCAATAATTGAGTCATGAAAAAAAAAATTGGTTCACCTCAGGAGAATGGATTGTACAGTAAATTATTTTTACAGCATTCTGTCATGCCAGCAATATGAATATTTAAGTGACTTAATATCATATACTGACATGGAAAGTACATTAAATGCTTTCCTATATAGCAATGATTTCTAAATAACTTCTAAGTAATAACTTTTATTGTCAATAAATAGTAATAATTTTTTTTTTGGTTTCTAGTGCAATAGTTCAAATCAAAAATGGAACTGATATAAATCTTCATTGAACTCTGAACTAAAAATGTGCTGAAAACTTTTTTTTCTCCAGAAAAATGGCTGCCATTCAATTATTTGCAAAATTTCCTATTACTAAATAAACATATTTTTATTTTCCAAAATGAAGTGTTTGTATTTGGAAAGTGATGTTTATCACCTCAGGGGATTTCAGATTACTGAATGTCTTTTTGTTTAGAACAGAATAGCATAACTGAACTTGGGTGTAAATTTTATGTGTTTTTTAATTTTTTTTTTTTAAACTGTCAAGCTTAGCGAAACAGGTAATATAG